CCGCATCAAATCTCAAAAGTACTTCGGAGCACAGCAGACTTAGCTGGAGATCTGTATACATGTTAGTAAATTTGAATGCTTCAATTCATTCCATCAACTCACCTCAATGATGGCAGGACCAGCAGCGACAGTATCATCAGAGACAACATCCTTGCAGCCAGTAAGGACGACATAAGTCTGTCCAGCAAAGCCCTCGGGAACCTCAACAGAGAAACCACCATCAACAGCCTTGGCCTCAACAAAGGTAGGTCCAGTGACAGCGATGAAAGCAGCATAGACACCCTGGCCCTTGGCGCCCTCGAGGGTATAACCAGGTGTCTGAAGTGTAACAGTATCACCAGTCTTGATCTCACTGCCCGAAGCAGCAGCAGCCAAAGCAGGGAAAGCCTTGACGGGCAGAGCGGGGTTCTCCTTGGGGCAACCGGTGATGAAGCCCGAAGCAAGGGAGTACACCTCGTTGTAGCTCAGAGGAGCATCGAAGGGCTGGGCAAAGGGGACTTGCTTGAGAGCACCGCGGATGTAGGATGAGTGACGGGCCTCGACGGTGAGGATGGATCCGGCGGCGGTGAGGTACGTCTTGCTCATGATGTCGGCTGCGGCGCCGAGATAAGCTGAGACGCCGACGCCTTCGAGGACGGAGGCGGTTGCGAGGAAGGACTTGACGTCTGTGACACCGAAGGAGTAAGTGCACTCCTCGACGGGTGTGACGCCGGCAGCTAGAGATGTTAGCAGACTGACACATAATAGTCATTGATCAAGACATACCCTTAAGAGCCTTGGTGATAAAGTCGACGTGAGCAGTCTCATCAGAAGAGACCTTCTTGATGTTGTTGTAGAATGTGGAGTCATAACCAGCATCCGCAAAGTCCTTCTCCGTGAAGTTGGAAAGGCCTTGACGATAGAAGTTATCTTCAAGGTGCTCGAGAGTGAGAGCGTAGTTGAGGATGACTCCGTCGTTGATCTGAGAGGCACGCTTCTCGATGACAGGAGCAGCGGAGGCTAGGCCAGCGGCCAATAGCGGAAGGGCAGTAGAGAAGTACATGATGAGTAAGGCTTGGAGGGTTTGATGATAGAGAATGATGAGATTGGTGATGTTCTGATCGAGTGAATTGGATGCACCAGGTTATAGATATCATATATGTGATTGTTTTATCATCAGTGCAGGTAGATATACATACCCGGCCAAACTTGCTAGTAACACCATTAGGCCCTCATGATGCCTCGACTGTAATTGTTAATAATATCCCCGCCCTCGATCCACAGCCTCAATCTCCCTAGACTCACAACATCACGATTCGGCATCTCACCATTCCGCTCCGATCTTGCCGCCATCCAATCTCCCCCCCTAAAGCCCAACCAAACAAGAGCCGAACACCCCAAAGTATCGCACCGCCCAAGTCTCAGCCCTAAGAAACATGCACCTCAAACAAAACCAAACACCCCAATTGCCGAATCAAGACGTCATGGCTCAAACAGATTACCGAATCGGGCACGTTTCGATGATCGCCAGGGACTCTCAGCCCGGCAACTCTTGAACCCGTAGTTGATAGTTCGAAACTAGCGCTGAACATCATTCGCGCGCTGTTTTCTAATTGTGGGACGTTTGGGTCTCGGATGGCTTTCGTTCCGTGAGCTAGAGAGGATTGAGTTATAGCTTGGGTTTTGGTGAGACAAGGCTCGGAATATTCACCATCCGAACAACATCGCGTTTGTCTAGTTCAACAGTTTGTACTTTGTAGAATGTTGGTAGTGTCGATTGCGCTTGGATAATGTGTCTTAGGCTGAGCTATGGGGAAATTGGTGTTGATCAGGGGAATTGGTCATCTCCCCGAGCAGCCGAAAGCCTTCGGGATGAGTTTGGTCCGAGGAATTGATAGTCATGGCTGATAGAGGTGCTGGGAAGTCGGCATTAAATTAACAAAGGTTGGGTGTGCAAAGACATTCCTGTTTGTATCAATAACTTTTGTGTTTTATTTGCTTCGATTCCCCGCCGAGTCGTTATTGTTAGATTGTCTGAGTCCACCATTCACTCTTTGACTTTCACTCATTCATAAACGCAACCATGAAGTTTACTATCATCGCTGCTCTCGCAGGTAAATAATCCATTTAACAGATATTCACTCACGTCCTGAACTAACAGCATATGAAGTCCTATCAGGAGTCCACGCCGCCGACTCTGCATCTACAACAATCACCTGCAGCTCCTGTCCCTCGGCCGTAACGACCCCTGACATCGTCACACGATCCGCTCTCCCTACTACATCTTGCACTGAGAAGCCTTTGGCGGTTGTATCAATGACCAAGGGAGGCAGTGGAGCTGCTGCACCTACTGGCTCGGGTGCCGCTTCTACCCCTACAGCCCAAGTCCCCGTGTCTGGAGCTAGTATCAACAAGAAGGGCAGCGTTGGTGGAATGGCTGCGGCGGCTATAATGGTGGCTGCATATATGCTTTAGTCTCTATGCAGTGGCCAATGGCGGGTGCAACAGTGTCGGGTGAGCTTAATATTCTATGGGTACTAGTTTTATATAGTGGTGTATGAGCGGCCATGCTGCACATGTAATACCGAATTGTGTTTATGGAGGAAGCTTGTTGGAATATCGCGCTGTCTCACAATTCATATTTTGGATCAAGAGAAAGACTAATCTATTATGCTGTTTTATATGCTATCTAGTTGGGAATCACAGGCAGAGTGATATAGTTTTGTTGGCGAGGTCCAAAGTGGATATGATTCGAACCTTGGAAAACCTCAGGTGATCTAAGAACAGTTAGCAATGAGCACATACATATCAAACATTCATGCTTACCTGTCAACCGGGTCGTTGTGCAAGAAAATACCTGACCCTTGAGTATCCCCGGACGACACCTCAAACACCAACTTACCCCCCTTATCAACAATAACATTCGTAGGCCAGACCTCAATATCAACGCCATAAACCTCACCCTGAATCACAGGCTGAACATCCTTGCTGGTGTAGTTTCTGTGAGGAAGCCACTCGCGGTGCTTAGGGTGTTCTGAATCAACCTTGCGGAGCGACACGCGAAGCCAGCCTTTCGTTAGAGGGACGGGGTCGCCTGCTGTGCCAGTATAGAATACCTCTTGGCCCGATGGGTCGAAGTGACGGAGTGTGACAAACAAATCAATGTCACTGGGTGTAGGGCCAGATGGATCAGGAGAAACTGAGACATTGAGATGAGCGACAACGTGGCCCGTGATCTCCGTCTCAGCCTCAAAGGCAGGGGTTGAAAACTGGACCACCTCAGGCTTCTCCAGCGTTCCAAGAGCCTTGTAGCTAATCTTCTTACGCTCTGTCTTGGGCTCATCCCAGCTGAGACCTTGTTCAGGCGTAAGAAAGAGTTTCTTATACTGAGTTCGCGCAATAGGCCACTCGTTCTCTTCTCTTCGAGGATAAGCCTTTTCTTTCTCGGCGTCGTTGAAGCCAACGTTGCCTTTTCGAAGAACAAGACTCACGGGAGCAACCTTGCCTTCTTGAGACCAGCCAACGCGGTCTTCACCCTTGAGGAAGGCATCGAGGAAGCTTCGTTGAATTTCAACTTCTTCCTCGTAGTAGAATGGGAGATCGTGACGGCCTGTGATGAGACGGAGATACTTGAACTTTGAACCAGCGTGGATGTATCCCTCGATGTTGCCCCGGAGATGGAGAAGAATACCGCCCCAGTTGCCTACTGACAAGAGAGGGACTTCGATATCGCCCATGTCGTACTCCTTGGAAGCGTAATAGGCTTCATCTCGGAAGCGGTTGACTTGGTTATCGATAGTCTGATCCTGCCTGTTGGCCTCGAGCTCATCTTCTGGCAGATCACCCTCAATAGTATCAGGACCCCAGTTCCTAGCATTCCGACCAGGTCTACCGTACTGATTTGTAATGACCTGGCGATTCCACCAAAACTTGATAAAAGCATTTGAAAGAATTCCACCGTGCCGGCATCGATCACGGTAATAATCTGACATGCCCTCCCAGGGAACAATGGCACTCAGACCCTTTGGCTTGCGGGCTGCGACTCGCCATTGACTTCCAGCATAGTAGCTAATACCGAGAAGACCAACTTTGCCGGATGACCAAGGCTGCTCGGCGGCCCATTCAACGACATCGAAGAAGGCTTCGCTGGTGCCTCTGGACATGGTATCAAGCTTGCCGGTTGATTGACCGAGACCACGCTCATCGGCTCGGACGATGGCATAGCCGTGCTTGGTCCAGAAGCCAGGGTCTGGAGTTTCCCATGCTGAGTGCTGGGACTTGTGCTGAGGATTCACCTCACTGAATGACTTGGGATGGAAACTACAGCAATGTTAGGGGCTATCTTCTAAGCAGAAGGATTGAACTCACTCTTGATACCAAATGTCCTTTCCATAAGGGCCATATGTGACGAGAACAGGAACCTTGTCAACACCCTTGGGTCGATAGACATTGAGTCTCACCAAACCATCACCAGCCTTGAGAGGAACAGTAGCATTCTGTTCAAAAATGTAAGGAAACGACTCTTCATCCACAGTATGGATATCCTCCTTGATAGGGTTCGGCATTGTAATAATTGGTATAGTGAAGATGAATTGAGTTATGCTAAGACCAAAACCAAAAAAGCCCTTGCAAATAAAATATCGTATGACAGGCCCTATTTCACTTCCCTCTCAGTGGATAACTCCCCCGCAATTGCACCATATTTCTCTTCGTCGCCGAATTGTCCCTTCGGTTGAGACCCCAACTTTTTTAGGTGGAGGGTTCCGATACGGGGGGCGTTCGGTTACGTGGGGCCGAGTCCCGAAGCGCGTACGACCCCAGATGCTAAGTGAGATCGGGGACTTGGAGGAGATGGGATGGGGAAGCGGGTGAATCTGGGGAAGGCTGATCATGATACGGTTTGTAGAGTTTGGGGTTTATTAGGTTCAGAGCTGCACGAAATAGTTACATCGGTTTTGGACATCCACATCTGCCGAGCACGCTTTTCTTGGGCTGTTTTACTGTATTATCCACTTACAATCATGACTCAAGACACAGAAGCAAGACCTTTGAACATTCTCATTGTTGGAGCAGGTAAGTCTAGCAACAAAAAGTATGTTTAGTTACCCAAAAGCTGACAGTACAAGGCATTGGTGGTTTAACCGCTGCGCTTGGTCTCCGTCAACAAGGACACAAAGTAACGGTAAGTAAACTCTTCCTCGACTATACCCACTTTGACTCATACTCTGTATCCCAGCTATTCGAGAGATCGCAACTGGCACGAGAAGTTGGTGCTGCTATTCACGTGGCCCCTAATAGTCATGGACTTCTGAAGCGATTTGGTGTTTATCCCGAGACTTTTGGCGCGAATCGCGTTGAAGGCGTGAGTCGCTCAATGGTTCAATGATCTGAACTACAGACTGAAACTTGGCAGGTCACTGAGTATACGCATGATGGACATCTCAAGTTTGATAACCACCTCAAGGGACCACTCTCAGTTTGGGAGCATGTACGTTGCAATGTGTCTTTGCTGTAATAATCGCTAACATGCTGTAGCCATGGGTTCTTGCGCATCGCGTCAGTCTACACGAGAACCTCAAGAATCAGGCAACCTCTACCGAAGGCCCAGGAACACCAGCTATTCTCAAGACCTCCAGCCCTGTCGTTGATGTTGATCCCTCAACGGCGACCATCAAGTTCGAGGATGGCACAACAGTGTCTGGGGATTTGGTTCTTGGAGCCGACGGCGTCAGCGTAAGGAGTTCAATTCCTATCTGGTGAATCTCAAAACTAATAATAAACAGTCGATAACGCGATCAATCGTTACTGGCACAGATATCAAGCCTTATGGCTCTGGAAAGAGCGCTTTCAGATTCATGATTCCCCATTCCAAATATCTCAACGACGAAACGACCAGGCCTTTCGCCGAGCGCACAGGTACAATGACGATGTGGATGGGTGATGACCGAAGAATCATCATGTATCCTTGCTCCAACAACACCGTCATGAACTTTGTTGCCATTCACCCAAGCAGTATCACCTCCGGGGCAAATAAGGGATCTGGTAAGCCACCAAAGCATTTGGAATATGAGTAACAAGCTGACGTAAATAGGCTGGGGACAGGGCGGCAGTAAGGAGCTTCTTCTTGAAGTCTATAAGGACTTTGAGCCGAGGGTCCGCGCTATTCTCAGCCTGGTTGATGCCAGTGATTTGAAGCTTTGGACTCTGCTGGACATGGACCGTATTCCAACATGGCATAAAGATCGACTTGTCTTGCTTGGAGACGCGGCCCACCCATTCTTACCCCGTGAGTTCATCACACTTTGCTGACGTGACATTGCTGACCGTTTCTCCAATCTAGATCAAGGACAGGGTGGCGGTATTGCCATTGAGGACGCAGCATCCCTGGTGGCCCTACTACCGTACGGTACAACAGCCGACGATATTCCCAGTCGCCTTTCTCTGTACGAGAAGATCAGAGACGAGAGAGCTCATACGGTGCAGCTCTTCACCAGGCAAGCAGGCGAGGATCTTGACGAGGAGACCCGTGTCAAGTTCAACAGTATGTCAATGATATCTTCAGTCACGAACTACCGAAACTGACAATCATTCAGTCTTCAAATTCCTTAACTACAACTTCGGTCATGATGAGTGGTACAACACCAAGAAGGCTCTCAGAGATCATCTCTGGTCTCAGAACAAGAACCTCCACTGGAAGTCTCCTGTATCATTCGGCCCCATGCCCAGTCCTCGACAAGATTACCACGGACAACGATATAACGGCGATGACTCTTCGTTCACTACTTGGTCGGTCCGTTTCAAGTCTTCTGCTACATACCTCAGGACTCTCTTCCCCACAGACCGGTTCAGTTTCTACAAGCCCGGCACTGTCGCTGAAGCAACATACTCCTGCACTGAGTTGAAAGACATGAAGTGGCTTGGCGGGGGAGGTTACAAGTTCTTTGGTCTTTGGATTCACGGTGTTCAGTATGAGAAGAAGGACGGCAGCAAGATCTATGGGTCTTTCCTCGCTGTTCTTCTGGAGAATCTTGCTGATCCTATCGTCACCGGTCGTGAGGAGCTTGGTATGCCGAAGCTCTTTTGCGATATCGATGTTGTGGAGAAGGGAACCAACACTAGCATTCGTTGTAGTTGGCGAGGAGCAGAGTTCGTCGATATCACACTCAAGGGTCTTGGTGAGGCTACCAACGGACATGCAAATGGTGTCAACGGCACAAATGGCCATCCCGCATCTGTTGGCCCCCCTGGTGCTCCTCCACTGCCAGAGGAGCAAGGACTCTTGGTATACCGATATGTGCCTGCAGTCGGCCAGCCCGGTGTTGCTGATGCCGCGTACCCTGTCTTTATCGAGAATGGGTTGGAGACGACGAAGCGACAGGTTGAGAAGACAATGGTGGGGAGTGGTGGTGATTTGGATCTTACACCTGGTACGTGGGATACATTGCCTACTCTGAACCATATCGCGACTGGATTCTCTGATGTTCCTGTTTATGGTGTTGTTAAGAGTAAGGTTGAGTATGGAAGAGGCGTGGATGATATTTCTCATGCTAGAAGGGTTGACTAGCGAGTTTAAGTTTGTATGTATATTTTATTAGCATTTCGTAGTAAGAAGCCCTCTGATTCTTGACTGAGTTGTGTTACTGTTTAGCAGGTGGCGACTGGTGTTCTGAATATATATGTTGGTGGCGCTAAGATTTATAGGGCTCAAAGGCGGTGTTTGCAGGAGACCCAGGTTACATCTAGGTCTGTACTTCGCGAAAGGGAAACATTCACTTCTAAGTTCTCTCTGGTGATTTAGCTCTCAGCCACAAGCCTCAACTCCGAAACTTGATAGGGGCCCGTAAGAATGGGTGTTTATGGCTATGATCAGTAGTTATTTGGAAGAATACGACGAAACCATTAAGGTACTTTAAATGATATAAGACTTTATATCCCGTATAAATGATGATTCTATAACGTATGGGCTCAATACGGCCGAGCAGGAGTAAGCTTGCCAATGCAATCACCAAATCCAACACCTGACTCATCTCCACCAACGGATCCTGTTATCCTCACAACATCACCATCCTCAAGAAATCCTCTCTTCGACCCATCACTCAACGTAACAGGCTTACTACCACCCTCTGTAGACTCAAGCATGCAACCTCGACTTGTCTCTTGAGAACCAGAAACAGTGCCCGTGGCCAGAATATCACCGGTCCTGAGGGCACTTCCCGAACTGACTGAATGCGCAACCATTTGCTGAGGAGTCCAGTATAGAGACTCGACTGGACAAACGCCAAGTGTTGTGGCGGTGTTATTTGCCAGGACGTCAACTTTCAAGGTGATTGAGAATGTTGAGGGGTTAGGATGCTGGAGGTATGATGCTGATATGGCCTTCTGCTCTTGGGCCAAGGTTCTGAAAGGTTCTAGAGCATCGAGGGTGATGATCCAGGGAGAGATGGAAGTTCCTAGACTCTTGCCATTGAAAGGGCCGAGAGGAAACATTTCAAAACCTTGAATATCACGAGCTAAATCTGTTAGTCGTCCGATTTCAAAAGAGGGCTGGCTAAGTACTTACCACTCCAATCGTTGAGAATCACAAAACCAAAAATATGCTCCTCAGCATCCTTAGCATGAAGTCTCTGCCTCATAGCCAACGGCTTTCCAACCACAGCAGCAAGCTCAACCTCATAGTCCACCTTCTGAGACGGTGCATAAATAATTGGATCGTCGCCTTCAGCTGCAGCAGGGTTCTTGAACTGTCCATAAGGACGCTCAATATCCGTTCCTGAGACAACGATGGAGCCTGTTCGGCCTTGATATCCAACTGGAAACTTGAAAAAGCCAGGTGGTGGCGTTCCGTTGTTGACCACTATACGCCCTGCATTTATGACATGGTCGAGAGAGCAGGAGAAGTCTGTTTGAAAATGAGCTTTGATTCAAAAGGGCAGAGGCGTTATTCGTACCTGCAAAGTCTTTGATCTCTACTGGCAAGTGCATCGTCACAGCAGTGATGTCTTCTTTGCTGCTCGGAGGAAAACCATCGAGGCCCTTGTGTTGATGAGCTTGCTGGATCTGCTTTCGGACATTCTGATGCACAGTCTTGGGGAGAGCAGCAAAAGAATTCAGAGTCTCTTCGTTGAATACACCTGGAGACAGGCCTTCAACGTCCTTGAATAATTGATCAACGAGATCATTCAGGAATATCACAGTGTTTCCAAGTCTAGTAACAGCTTGGGGAGTTTTGTGAGAATGGGAAGAAGCTATTCCGAAAGGAATGTTCTTCTCAGTGAAGTGGTGAGCAAAGTCTGTGGCTGTCATCGTGTTTGTTTCTCTTAGTCGGTGGATAACCACAACTTCATTCAAAACGTAGCAGTCGAGATGGCAGAAATGGCTGTTCCCTTCAATTCAATTCTAGCCCTGTATTATCAATCATTAACCTGTTCTATCCCGAGGACTTCATGCCGAACCCGCGAATGGTTGAGTGGACGATCGGCATCGGTTGATCTGGGTCCAGGGTCCTCCACATCCCGATGAGTCAATCGAGGGGTATGGCTCCGGATATGTAAGGGAAATGGAGTCGTATATCCGGCACTTAACATAAAACGAGACGAAATAGAATACAACACCTTCATGGAGTATCTCAGTAAATAACTTACAGAACCGATTATTTGCCGTCACCACTAGATACTAAATTCGTCAACTACAAATCTTGAAAATGGCTCTCAACGGCAAACTCAGACAGACCCAGCGCATCATCACAACACACAACGATGAGGGCAAAGCGATAATCGACACATCAATCAACTCAGACGCACCCTTCTACGCCCTCCCTGACGGCAAAGCACACTTCGCGCTAGGCTACGCCACAAAAGAATTCCCTGCCAAGCTCAGCAACAACGCCGACATAGAATCCTACCAAGGCTTCCTGACCAGCCAACCAGGGCTCAGCATCTCAACGGGCACTGTCCTCCGCTATGTTGATATGTGCCCAGGCCACGTCTCACCTATGCACCGCACTGTGAGTCTCGACTACGGTGTTGTGCTGGAGGGCGAGGTTGAGCTTATTCTGGATTCGGGGGATACGAAGGTATTGAAGAGGGGTGATGTCTGTGTGCAGAGGGCGACTATGCATGCGTGGAGGAATACTAGTGAGACGGAGTGGGCGAGGATGTTGTATGTGCTTTTGCCGTCGACGAAGCCTGATGTTGGGGGTAAGGAGTTGGGTGAGGATTATGGAAATATGGAGGGCGTCAAGGCTTCCGAGTAGATAGATTTGATTTTAGCTTGAGAACGAGAGTTAATACAATCATGATGTTTGTCTTGATCACATACTTGGCATCCTTCTATCAAGTACGATACCATACGTACATCAAGGCGGTAAATGATTGAGAGTCTTTTTTGTTTTCTGAAAACACCTCGGAGCTGGATGGAGCTTGATATATGTCTCAATAAGAGGGTCATTTATAAAATCGTATCCGAATGATCTCCGTGGGTATGGGTCTAGTTTGGACCTGTACTTGAGCTGTCTCTTACAGGAGTAATTGCATTACAATCACATGACAAATTTAGACTGAGAAAAAAAAAGAAAAAGTCGATAGATCTGATATATGGTTCAATAACAAGAAATTCAATAGTAAACTCCGACCCTCACGTAATTCAACTGCCGATCTAAAACTCTCCTCCAATCTGATACTTCCAAACCTTATCCGTAAACCTCCCAATCGACGCCCTCCAATACTGAGCTGCGCTCTTCTAAAATCAGCTCATATTCACAAATTACCATTTCTTTACTTACAGCGTTGACATTCAGACCTCTAAACATAGCAGTGATAAAGAACCTCTCAGCCGTGCTGGTATAGACGCGAACGCCATTAACATGCGCTGCGTCTCGATTAAGCGGCCTATACGCAGGCACACGACGATGCGGCAGATCAAACTCCGGATGCTCTGCAGACGTCACAGGCGAAGTTCGACAATCAGGCGATTCCTCGCGGGCTTGAGAATGGTGAAGCTCATAATCGCGGAGGATGGAGCTGTGAAAATCGCCGTTTTGGGTGTGCGTTACTGTAGTGGTCGACATGTTGAAGAGTACGATGTTGATGACAAGTTTGAGTGATGAATTCGAGAATTGACATCCGTGTTGTGTTGGTCAAATTACTGACGTTGCATACTCTCATTTGCCGTTCAAAACTCTACCGGGTGATTCGGGGCATTGTCGTTTGATGAGACCTCCACCTCGGGATGTGGAGGAGTGCTACCCCGAGACGCCCTCACCCGAACCGACGGAGAATCCGGGGTCCCCAGGGTCAACCCCAACTTGTCCCTCTGACTCTCGAGCTCTTAGCATAACAAAATAGGGGCCCTCAAGTATCTCGATACATCTCCAATATCCAACACAAGCTTAGTGCCCTATCATTCTCACTATTCACAATGTCGAAATCACTCGCAGCAATTAGATCAGCAGCCATCGACGGGCGTCTTCACAACCCGTTCTACCGAAAAGATCAATTGCGGAGTCTTCATACTGCGTTGGCGGATAAAGCTGTGCAGATTCAAGATGCTATTGCGAAAGACACAAAGCATCAACCTGCTGAGATAAAGGTTGAATATTGGCTTGCTTTGCAGGCTATTACTGAAGCGCATGAGTCGCTTGATCCGGTGAAGGCGACTGAGGATGAGTATGCTGTTACGAAGGGTAATGATGACACTACTTGTCGAGAACCGATTGGTATTGTTGTCATTGAACCTGCGTATCATGCGTTCTTTTATGGATTGATCGCGGCGTTGGCGCCAACTCTTGCGGCTGGAAACTGTATTATTGTGCAGGTAAGTGTCTGAAGAATATTTTGATATAATATGAGATTAACAGACGTAGGCTCAAAACTCACTACGGGAAACACCAAAAATCGTGCTGGATCTGATCTCCAAGTCTTTGGATAGAGATATCTTCACAGTCTCAAACCAAGAAGTCACAGCACAAGATATCAGCCTTCCTCACATCCGCGTCTCCCAAAACGGCTCAGACGGCCCAATCCTCAAGGACCATCTCGTCTCAGACCCCGAAGCACCAGTCGTAGCATTCGTGGAGCGAGACGCAGACATCCAAGCAGCTGCCAAAGCTCTCGTATCAGCACGTTTCAGCCTGCAAGGCAAAGCCCCCTACGCCCCTGACGTCGTTCTCGTCAACGAATGGGTCAAGAAGGATTTGCTACGCGCTCTAGTGCAGCAGAGCACTGAGTTCTTGGCTAATTCACCGAACAAGACTAAAGCGCCTAAATCAGCGCTGTCGAAAGAGATTGAGAAGGATGATTCTGTGCATGTTGTGCTTTCTGGGTCGAATGGAGTGATTCTGGATGTTGAGAGTAGGGAATCGAATTTGCTGAACCAAAAGGTTGATGAGACGACGCTTATTGTGCATGCTGTTACCAGTATGGACGATGCTATTGATACCTCAAGAGAGTAAGTACAAGAGCTCCATTTGGCTGAATATTTCTGACTTTTCTAGTATTGGATCTCTGGCCGCTGCTCATATCTTCACCAATCCGGCTATGGCCAAGTATCTATGTCAATTCGTGGATACAGCCGTCAGCTTCGTCAACCACATCCCCACCAAACTCCTCTGTGAGTCTCAACACCCTTTCCATACAAATCAACGCTAACAGCCTAGACTCTCCGACCGCACCATCCGGCATTCCTCCCCAATCCGGAACCAACAACATCTACCACCAAGACCTCTTCTCCCGCCTAAAGCCAAAGTATCTTACAAAGTCCACCACTGACAGCAAACTGGACAAGATTGTCAACTCAACTTCTGTTAGAGAGCTAAGTGTGCTGGATCAGGAGGCTACAAAGAGACTGCCTGAGATGAAGCGGAAGCTCAAGGGAACGCAGCTTGGTTTCTTTGAGCAGGGCATCGTGACGAGTTTGGTGTTTATTTTGACGACGGCTGTAACATCGACGAGTATTCTGGGATATTATGGCTATAGGTACTTGAGATCGTGAGGGGTTGTGTTTTCTTCGTGGTGGTAGAATTTATCTTGTATAGTGACTCCATTATCCATAGCGTTCGAGATTAATTTTCTGATTAAACCTTCACATATGCTATCTGCATCCCAGAATGACAGTCTCAAATTTGAAATGATAGTTGATTTGCAAACGCTTGCTCGTTAAAAATGGATCCTCAAACGATACTAAAAACCTGCCTCTTCCCAAGCCCGTTCCCAAGCTTCGCCAGCCTCTCCAATATCTCCCCATGCATTATCCCCTGGACAAAACACTCCCCAACCAACTCAAACTTCTCCTCTCCAACAGGCCTCAGCAAATACGGTACATTACCACCATCTAGCAACACAATCAAATCTCCCCCCTTCGACCGCCAAGGGCATAATCCAAACAATCCCGAAGTCGTAAGAAAGAAACAAGGCTCCATACACGTCGGAAGCTTGTTTGTCTTATAGTGCTCTAACTCTTTCCCGGCACTTGGTTTCAACACTTCAAGTGGTTCTCGCGAACGATAGTTCCAGTGAGAACGCATATGATCCAGATACTTCATGTTGCATGTTTCATTACTTTCTGTTCTGAAGCCATCTGCAGTCAGGTTTCTTGACCAGAACGGTGATAGAGCACAAGGATCGAAGATCTTGTCAAAGACTTGTGATAATTCGCTTTGCTCTTCCACAGGCTTTTGGTAAGGATAGATATACTCGACAGGTGCGTGGCTGATGCTCCTGATCTCAGTAATGTGAAGACCTGAAAGTCGAAGAATGAGAGGATCGTCCGTCTTTAGAAGCTCAAGATCTGGCTTCGTATCGCCTGCTGCTTTGAATTTAAACCGAGCATTCAAGTTTGCTTGAGTCCGTCTTGAGCTTCCTTTGCTGTCAACAGACCAAGTTGGTCGATTCGTTACTGGGTCTTGGGCCTCAGGTCCTTGAATCTTTACCCAAGTGCGTGATGGTTGACAGTGGATAGACGATAAAATAGCCACAGAGTTGTGCTCTCGGATCCACCAGCGTGTAAAGTCAGCAAACACTCTCTCCTTTGATTTGTCGTAGTTGGGTCGAATCAAATCATCCAACTTCGTAGTATCATGCGTCTCGTTGGCAAATGTGAGCAAAGCAAACAGCTTATCGCGAGGATCAGTCGCCTTCAGATCCAGACCGGAAAGAAATACTTCCAGAATGCTAGATAGCTCAGTCGTATCTTGCGCTTCGATGGGAGTTGTCGGGACCTCCGTCGTCTTTCCCTTTGGTTTGAGGGTCTTCCAAATAGCTGCCATGGAAATCTGCTGTGAGACAATATGCGGGTTTTGGCTGGAGTACCCAGGATTCTCAAGCCAGTTGCTGACTTGGACCACTTCATCCCAGGGGACTTGCTCTCCAGAACAATGAATGAAGGGTTGTTTCGCTGACAGAGCTTCCTGTATCACCCAGACTCGGGTAAACCATGGATTTTCGTAAAGAGTGCTCATGAGGAACGATAATTGGGTGTTTCCATACCAGCCAGCAAGATCGATAATCTCCCTTGTCCATGTTTTTAGGTGTATGTCGAAAACTTCCAACATGCCCTTGAATGAGATGGCGTTTCCCTCATCTTTCTTGCTCTGCTCATATGCCCGAATCTCCTCAAGAGGCGTCGAGTGGGCTGTACCGGGGCAAGAACATTGCTCACCGCCTTGGCATAGTCTGGAGTTTGAGTTGCAGATATCTCGGATAAGCTTTAAGCAAGCCTCAACGCCGTGATTATCTTCACCGAGCCAGATGTGAACGACCGAGGCCAAGGAGTAGATCTGACTCATAAGCGTAACCTGTTTTGCTCTCTCTTCGAGATCGTCTTGGTTGATGCACACAGCGTCGATCCATATAATCAGAGTTTCCCTCTCTAGTCTCAACCGACGAAGTGCTTGGGCAGCAGACTTTCCAATACTAAAGGGCATCGCTTCGTTTCCATTGTCGAAGTCACCTTCTTTCGATAAAAGGATCTCCTCTCGCTCGGTGGGATCTCCCCAGCAATACGACAATGCGTGAAAGTCGATGTCTTTTGCCTCGACTTCCTTCAGGCTTGCTAAGCGAAAAGAACATCGGATCGGATCGTCAAAAATCCCTGGCTCAACATGAAGGAGTCGAATCTCCTGCCTTTCGACACTCAACGCCCCAGAATAATGCGAAGAATTTGAGGTAAATTGCATGGCTTGAAGTTCCTCTTCCAACTCCTTAGGTTCGTATTCAATCTTGATGCTTCCCTCGTCGATGATGTTCACCCAAGCCATATACATAGCGCGAGGAATCAACTGAATGACATCGCCTGGTCGAAGTGCCTCAATCCAGAGTCGCCGTCTTGGCCCATGGAAAACAGTCCATCTATCAGACCATTCCTGGGGCTCATCATTCGCCAGGCGGTTGTTAAGGACAGTGATTGTTCGCAGATCTCCACGTCCTTCAGGACGCTTCACTGACGCATCCCACCATGTGAATGATACTGCTTCTGATCTGTCTGCCCAGCCTGTATGACATGTCAGTTACACCTGATGATGACAACATGCCAATTCATTGACCTTGATCGCGAGATGTTCCACCGAAGGTAACGGCAGTGACTCTCTTCGCATCTTGCGGCACTTCCAACTCAACATATGGCCGTTCAGGACAGTGATCGTGGACCTGGATGGCGTCCTTGCGTTCAACAAAACATGTTTTCATTTCGGTTGCCATTTCGCTTCAGAATGATTTGAACTGATAGGATGCATCCCGCCAAGTCTCACGAGTGAGCTTGGGTTATTAAAGCTGGTGTCGAGAAGAGGGAACCAGAATGTCAGCATATACCCTTGCTCAATTGTCGCTAAACAGCCAGTAAGAAGCTGCGGATGCTCTGCAAGGCCTGACAGGGCTGAGTGCATGGGCGCAGCACAGCGATCCTGGGGGCTAAGCATCGCTTCCAAAATTAGACCTACGATATCGATAACGAGGGAAATAGTTGGTCAATAAGAGCAGGATAATTTTGTTTTAAGGAAAAAAGGTCGATACCGAATACACGTACTGCGTAAATAGCCAGAAAACTGAAATCTATGTAGGTCCATAACCGACCCTGGTACTCCATCACAAAAACCCCTCGCTAATCTCATGATCCATGAAACCCTTATAGATCCTTTAATCTTAGGGCCCCAAACCCAAGCGACAAAAGTGTAGACAAATCAACCCAAGGTAAGCTTGCAGACTCCCCTCGAAAAGTCACCACTCAAACCCCATCCATTGCCACGGCACCCTCACCACAACATCAGGCATCTCTGCCGTTTTCCTCGCCTTCTCAACCGCACTCAAAAAAGCCCTTGGACTCTCCAACTCTTTACACATCACACCACTACCCGTTTCAATCAGGCTTTGTCCGTCCTTTATATACCACGCAATATGCATCACATCAGACCTCTCGACAAGAAACTTGAGCTGCTCGTCTACTTTTGCTCTCGCCAACGTCGCTCCATAAGCGTCGTTATGCTGTAGAAGAATGGTCATTGATGAAGTGTACTGAAAGATATCATCTGGAAACGCTGAGATCTTGGTGGCTATCTGGGCGGTTATCTTCGGGGGTACGTTTGGATGCCGAGATAGATAACTGACTGTCTCTCGCCGGATGTTCACGTCGTCATCGTTGAGAAATTCGGCGAGTGCATAGAGTGTTCTTGTGTCAGGAAGGAATCTCTTGGTCTCACGAGTAAGCGTCTTGATCATGCCATGCCTCCCGTTAGCGTGTCTGTGTGTTAGAGCCTCGCAACAGGCTGCCGCAGCTTCATGAAGATTGCCGGGAATATCGGGATGATAAATCCAATATGTAAGAGCATCGAGTCGTATGAGATCATCTGTATCATGTAGAGCCTTGTCAATGGCTTGCCGCAGAGCCTCCGGACAACCAGTTGTTCTGTAAACGGTTTGGAAAACCAGGTCTCTTTTGGTTCCATCTTTGACAGCAAGATGGTAGTCTATAGCCGAGTGAAGCTGTTCATTTAGATCCAGTCGATGACTCTCCAAGGTCTTCATCGCTTGTCGACGGATGGGCTCGTAATCGTCCACCAGACACTCGATAATTGCTCGTAACACAGTCTCGGAAAGCTTTGATTGACCATCGAACAACAATAGCGCTCCTCGCCGGATCTTTTGATATTCAGATCGAAGATACGGGATGACTTTGTTGAGTGCCGCTTCTGGGAACGGCGGCATAACATCTGAAAACCCTCCAGGAATGAATAGAGGTTTCTGGCTCCCTTTTGGTGTAGTGGTCTCATCGTTGAAACAGCATATCATAAGTTCCATCACTCTCTCGGGTAGGAACTCCTGGCATCGCAAGATCCTTTCTGCTATCAGTCGTATTTCTGAGTCAATGTCCAAAGGCCCGACCCTCAAAAACTTGACAAGGGAGCACAGCGTATCTTCCATCAGGGATAGCTGGCTTCGCCCCTCAAGTGCTTTGATAGCAGCAAGCTGAACTGCACGGTCTGGGTTATCGAGATGATCAGAAACGGCTCTTAGATCTTCAATCTCAAGATTCGCCTGCCTGGCTAGTGCATCCAAGGAAGCCAGCTTGATAACTACATCATCTCGCCCAAGGTTCGTCAAGATCTTGTTGATAGCCATTCTCGGTAGCTTCTGGTTTTGGTAGCCAAGCGCCAAGGTTGCAATGCCAACATCCTCTGGCTCTTCGTATTCGATGAGCTTCAGGCCAGTCTGCACAAGATCCACACCATCCCTTCGCTTCTCACTGCCTATGTCCTCTGTTGACTTTAAAGCCAGGTACTTCTCCCAGTAAGAATCAGCTGTCAGGATGTCAAAAACCTTTTCTCTTGCGACACGTGTCTCTTCTGATCTGCACAGAAACTTTGCCATCCGATCAAGAGTCGACCGGGGAAGGTTCTTCTGCCCGCTCAATCTTACCATGGTCCGCCATCTTAGGCTAGCATCATCAGAGTCAAGAATGGTAGAGATAGATTCGATATAGGTCGCTATAGTCGCTGGAAAGTCGTTCAGAGCAGAAAGAATACCAGATTTGACCCAAGGATTCCCATTCTCAAGACTCAGACTTAAGGCAAGTTTTGCACTTTCAGTCCAGTTCTGCGGCAAACCAAGGGACTTTACTATCATAGAAACATCATTCTCAAGTAAAGCTCCGCCATATTTTTGTGTCTTCTCAAAACCAGCCTTTCTGAGCCGACATGTCAGGACATTCTCGAATTCGAGTGGGGTCTGAGACCCTGAGCGCATCCTCTTCTTATAAGCCATTAATGCGGCTCTGAAGGTGACGGGATCCTCATTTTGAAACATCATTAAAAGTGCCTTGCGGGGGAACTCGGGCTCGCCGGCTAATGCACCCTCTTGGAGCTTCCTACTTTGAGCTTGGAAAGTAGCCCATCTCACTAAATGAGCCTCAAGGCGGCTTCTATGGCTTTGAAGTCTTTCCGATGATATCGAAGGACGCAGTTCCGCCAGGCAATGCATTGTCAGTCTCTGATGGGCCACGCCTATCAAATCGAGTGGCTTGGTGTCGATGGCCTGGAGAAAATGTAACGCCCGTTCGTCAGAGCCGTTCCTCCCTGAGTGCAATAGCCCGGCAACAAACCGCCACATAATGTCGTAGCGAGATGAGTATTTGTTTTGAGAAAGGAAGTCCTTTGGTTTCATGGTTGCGTGAGACGAGGTGTGCGCATACACTTTCGCATTTTGGTCAAAGTTTATGCAGACAAGATCCGCCTTGTTTTTCTGCAGCCAAATGCGCACAAAGTACCGGGCGGCGAAGTATTCTTGTAGAGTCAGGTGCAGAAAGTGATAGCTACGACTCGGCTTTCCGACTGATGAGTCTGACGTCCGTAGAAAGGAAAGCTCTGGTAGGGTATTTTCGACAAAGATAGAGTGTATGCCGATACATCGGCAAATAATATCGACGTGTTTGTCCTGGAACTCGACAATGTTATTACACAACCCAGTAAATGCGAGTTGTTCAATAAATATTGCTTCATCTTCGATCGCCTCTTCAACCTCCATATCAGAACCCTTGTCCTTCTCATTTGAAGGTGGCCTGGTCATTGACTTTCCCAATCTCACAATATCCTTCCGCCATAGACCTTTTTCGATAGACTGGTAGAGATCCGTCATGGTTTCTGGGCCCTGGTTGTGAACTTGATCCCAGCCATAGCAGAGCGCATCGAGTTGAATGGGGATACGGACGAGGTCTTCAATGAGCGGGCGAGACGAGAGAAAGGTCTGAATCTCTTGGTGTCTTTCGGGCTCAATGTGCTTGACATATTCGTAGACCTGATCTGTCCCAAAGCCGATCATTTCGAGTTCCAGGTCAAACGGCTGAATGCAAGACTGAATTGGAACGGAGGGTCGAGATAGTGCCAACACATTAGGTTGATTGAGGAGGCATATGACAAATTTTGCGAGATCATCACCTGGCTGTAACAAATGCCAGACCTCATCCAGGCCGTCGAGCAAGAATAATGTCTTACCGCCGCCGGGGTCCGTACACGCATCTCGTAACGCTTCAGCAAGGTCGCTGCAATATGGATGCTGCGAGAAGAATTCATCACAAAAGAGCTCCTTGAGGTTGTGTCCTCCATTTCGTGATAATAGGTTTCGTAGTCGAACCCAGAGAATGCGATCAAAGTGTTGCTTCCAGACCCGGTTCTGCACAAAGTCGTGAACAGCTTTCTTGCAGAACGTCGACTTTCCAACACCAGCTTGACCACGAATAAGTATTCGTGTCGAGTGTTTCGATGCTGCGCCATGAGACCGGGCGACGTTAAATATGTCGTGGAATCTGACTCTGACGCCGCCATCCGGGCCCTGGACATTCAACCGCCGGAACAAAGACAGATTTGCGATTTTGTTACCGGGTGTAAGATTTGAAAGTCGAGAAGTCTGGTTCCTGGCGTGGGGTATAACCATGAGATTGATGTAGCATCGTTCAAGAGGTAGTCGCTCGCCTGAAAGTCGCTCTATCTCGAGGTTCTCTTTGGCATAACAATGCTGAAGAAGCCAGTCATCGGCAGCCTTGAGACAATAAATCTTGTCTTTTAATCGGGCAGCTGCAAGACTTTGAGTCTCTGGCAATTCTTCGGTTGATTCGGCATATTGACCAAGGTCTTCTAAGGACAGTTTGACATTTGTTGAGCGCATATCGCTCAGCCTGGCTCATAAGACAGTAGTCGTCTGGAGGGCCACGGGTTTAGATGCGCGGCTTAAAGTACCCTGGTTGACATGCAAAATATGTGCAGAAGAAGAAATTGTAAGTTTTTAATCAAGAAGAACAACACTGTAGAATCTTGATGACCAGACAAACAGCACTTGTAGATCCGAGAATCTTGGTTGCAACAGGTAAATGCGCAAATGAGAAGATAAGGAATGCAGCCTATAACACCCCTGCTAGCCTGGGCTTCCCTCCCCCAATCTGATCGGCCTAATGCGCCACAGCGGCTACTACGGAACTATTTTCACCCCAGAATGAAACTCGAAGATAAGGTAAGGCAGCTAGGGCACGCCAGATGACCCTGATGCGTCTGCGCTAGAGATGCTCAGCCGCACTAGGCTGACTGCCCTGTAGCAACGCTCTACGCTGAACCTCGTGGCCTTTGTAGTGAGTATATAGACAGGATCTGCTAGGCGTTTATAAATTATAAAATCCAAGATCTTATCAATCTATTACTTGTCTTCGCAGCCTAAATCTTAACCTGGCAGTCATCAATAGACTACGGGTGAGGTCATAAAGAATGACGGTAAGGCAGTACGACGAGTTGTCTTCTTTGTTACATGCCCGACAGCTAGAAGGGCAGTACCCTTTAATAACTATAACAAGGTTTATAACCAGGCAGCAAGGGATATTAATATCCCCTCGAGTCGTTTTCCTAGCAGAAATCTCCGCTTTAACATATTGGCTCGCTGAATTTCTAAGACTTGTATTTACCACAGCTACGATTTATGAGAACCTTTTCCCTTGTCATTTGTACGGGATCTCCACTACATCATCAAAGGAAACATGTCTTCCACCAATACCGTTGACCCTCTTTCTTCGCTCCTTCTCTTCACGTTCTTTCTTCTCCCGGAAAACAAGACATTCAGCTGGGATCTTTGTCTCGCTCAGTTGAAAGCCAATGCTGCACTGCCCCAGTTTGTGGAGTTCAACTTCATCACATGTGGTATACGAGATGACCTGATCCCACGTGTATCCGCAACCGCGCTCTTTGACTTTAGTGTTTTTCAAACACATCTTCCACTTTCCTTTTCCCTTTTGATGCGATGTAGGGTGATAGATTGGAAGTTGGGAACGTTTTTCTGTAGTCGGCTGTGGTGTTTAGTATGATGTTCAATTGTTGAGGAGTATGAGAAGAAACCTTACATTGTAGCTGGAGGGTTTTTACTTATCTAGTTATAAACGGAGCCAGCCAACACCCCTTGTCTAAGCATGATTGTGGGTGACGCAATTACGTGTAAATTCCTGTTAGAAATCAATAATAAGGGCAGAAATACAAAGGCTTTATATTCAGTGTCCTTTGAGGACTGACTGGAAAACCGTCTCTGAATGGCTTTTGATCACTAGTGGTTTGTCCATCACTTTCACACAAACAGGGAACAATCAGGCCCTATCATGCAACAGCATGTTTGGGGAGCTGTCACAGGCTTTCCTTGTTCATGACTCGAAGAGCGCGCAAGGTGAGCAGCTTCTCATCCTTTGACTGCTATCACCGCCGAATCGCTCAAATCGACACACGATAATGCCAAACGCAAATCTCCCCAAGTAGTCATGTTGTGTCGACCCACGCCCTCAAACAACATTCCAAGACTCCTCACTATTCACCGTCATATCATCCGTCGCCACACTAGCACCATCATCCTCTTTCTCCTCCTTCTCCTCATCCTTCTTCTCATTCTCAACCTCTGGCTCAGCCTCAGGCCACGCCGCGAGCCACCGCCTCCTTCTATCCGCCTCGACTTCTCGCACGCGCTTGGTGTGGCACTCGATGCACTCGATCGGTTCCGTGACGTTGCGGTAGCTCATCCCGTTGTGGCAGAGGCCGAGCTTGTAGATGGAGACTTTGTCACAGTTGATGTTGCGGATAATTTCGCTCTTGTACTGTCTGCAGGTGGTGCAGCGACGGACTGTTCTGACTTGCTCGCACATTTTGCCGGTATCGGGGGCCGTTTGGCTTGGTGAGGATCTGCTTGGGCTTAGCTTCTGGGTGCGAGGCCAGAGATATTGGACGGAAGGGAAAGATACTTACTGATATAGTTCCCGAGAGTCTCTGAAGATGCGATGCCGGTTTTGTAGGTTTAAAAGCGTATGTTGCTTGTGGGTGATTTGCTGCAGCTTGCTTTTGACGAGTCTGAGAATCGGGGAGTTTTCGGTTGAGATGAAGTAGTAAAATATACTGAGAATAGAGAGGTCATCGCATTCACAGCTGTAATTTGTTTGAATGTGACGCAGTAGGTAGCGAACGGTGAAAGCTATCGGCATAATTGAACTTTCGTTTGCACTGATCATCACTGCCACGTATTGTCAGCGCATTAGCTGACCGTGATCACCATTTGGAATCTCGAGTCACTTTGCATCAACTCAATCTCTGGCTTGATTGGCAATGATATTTATTTGAACTATCTGAGACATGAGTATGTCATTCCAAGGATCGCCGTCTCAGCCGCCTCATCGTCTCCTTGCCTCTTCTTCCCTCTCTATACACTCCGCGCATTTCTCTCCACCATGTCGTTCCGTGGTTCTTGCGACGCCGCTGCAAGTTTCCTCAGGATCTGCTGCATCGCTGCATTGATCAAAAGTATACCAGTCGATGATGTAGTTGCCGCATTCATCGCAAAACATCGTATGAGTTGTTGCTACACACATTTCTTCGTTCAAGTACTGTGTTACGTGGATATAGGTAGTAGTCCAAGTTCGACGTACGATCTTAGCGACTATTTATATTGCTCGTCATGTGGTATATCAAATGGATATTCCTCAGAAATCTCCCTGAACCTGGTATGACAGAGTCGGTGATTGTCTGATTTTGTCGTTTCGCTCGAGGTATACAGCGTCTTTGCAGCGGAAAAGTCTTGAATCATCTCACAGAAATCCAGAATGGATCAGTGAATAGGCTCTAACGTTTCAAGCGATCCATTCAGCTACTGTTTTCAACAAGGTCTCCTCGGCCATGATAAGACAACCCCATCACCCCTGTGACTAGCTCAGGTAATTATTCAACCAAATAAAGCATCCCACTTATTGCCCCGAAGGATTTCTCCTGCGTCTGATCTCCTCGCATGTCCAGCATAAAGAGTGAATGAGATTCTCCACGTGATAGGCTCTTGGGCATCGTCGACCAGGGACCAGGTAAACACAATCAGTAACTTGAGCTCGTCCAGGTGTCTGCTTACCGCAATCCATGCAAACCCATATTGGATGCTCGTAAGTGCACATTCTGTTGGAGTGCCTGGACTCTTTGAAGTCCGGTGATTTGTTCGGGATGATTGAACTAGTAGTTATTGCAAGAGATGAAGCAGGGTCTTGATACTTGGAAATCTGACTAGACTCCAATATCAGGGGGGGTGCATGGGTACTTATAGTTATTTCTAATGACTGAAGAACTGATTGCCTACACTTTATTTAAGTACTTTGTGATCACTTTTCAGTATAACTTTTTGTGAGGAATCACTAAGTTCTCACTGCTGATTTAAGCTCTCAGCCACAAGTCTCAACTGCAAATAAGTGAGGAATCATATCATATTCGCTGAAGCAGATCTAAATGCTCGTGCATGACCGATGAAATTGGTATTTCTCATATGACCAGCTCTTACCCGACTGCATCTCAGTTCCAACTATGTGTCATTCACCCCTACTTTCCCGTCTTGCGCCACACGCTCCTGTTACTACTGAAGCGCCCTGCATTTCTTGCATTCACCCTTAACTCTCTGGGACAGCTGACTAAGAGCATTGGAACAAGTTCCTTTCTCCTCATATTCGGGGCACTTGTCAAGCTTAAATTCTATGCGAAGCAGATCGTTGCAGCTTTTGCTGTGTTATTCAATGGCAGTCTTCCAGCACGTCTTTTGAATTATATGTATGTTCGAGTTTCTGTTTTTATACTTTGATGGAAGGCTATCTATAGAAATACTGGCATTTTTTTACCTTTTAACCTTGGGCTGTAGCCCTCTTCTACCTTTCGACCTTATCACAGTATATATATATGGCTTTGGATACTTTATAGTTGCCTGTTACATGGCTGAAAGTCTGATCTTGTCATCGAGGTATGTATTCTGTTTGTAACTCCTATTCAGCCTAGACAGGGACATGTGTTCACCCAGCTGCTACCGATTTATACTTCCCTGACTTCAGTGATGCCTCATTCATTCTTAAATCATCCTCGCTTACTTTTAATATTGGCTATGCTAATCAGAATTTGCATAGTCCCCCCCCCTTATGGGGTATTGGGTCTCCGCTGAATGAGGCTTGAAGCCAGCGTCATGTGGCTGAGTTACCTTTCCGGTTAACCCGGATATCGCGGAAACCCCGGATCAAATTGAACAGCGTTTATATGGCGACCTCAACCTCGATCTTTCCACCATTTCCGAGATTGTTAACATAATCACGCATTCCTTGTCAAAAGAAAAACTATTATCCGAGCGATATGGCGGCTAAATCGGGAGAAGAACCGGTCTTGAAGCGTAGGCGGGTGGCCCAGGCATGCCAGACATGTCGCCAGATGAAAGCCAAGGCACAATACCCGGCTTAAGCTGACCTCGGATAGGGCTAACTATTTACAGTGCGACGGTCGGAAACCCAAGTGTGGTCGCTGTGTGGGTTACGACTTCACTTGTCTCTATGCGAAGACTAGGTCCAGACGTCACGAAGTAAATCAAGATTATGGCTGGGATGCATCAAGCTCCAATGCCATTGGTGAGCTTCGAGATGGCATCAATGCTTACGACGACCTGATTCGTCGACTCTTGCGTAGAAACAAGGAGGACAATCTTGACCCCAAAGAATTACATGCTCGAGTGAAAGACAGAGTCAAGAGAGCCCTCGATCGAGTCGCCTTACTCACTGACCCTCGTGTAACTACCATCGCTTCACCTTCTGACCAGGATCAATCATCCCGATCGCCATCCTCGCAAAGTCAGCATCGATACTTGGGAGAAGTCAGCGATGTCCACTTCTTCAATCTTGTCAAGGGATTTCTACAGACTAAAGATTCGTCTAATCCGGAGCAAGGGTTTGACAGCTACGAACAAGATGGAGAAGTCTCAACGACCAATAATGAAAGCATTACGCATACCCTGCTCCTTGCGCCGGCAGAAACGAGAGGACTTGTCGAGGTGTACTTTTCTACAATCCATGTCGCCTATCCTTTCATTCCTCAGTCTCCCTTTATGGCAAATCTCGCTAAGGAAGGGGGGATTCCGAACAACGCGACTGATCTCGCTATCTTATGTCAGTTCCCGACGGTTTGTCTATACTCCATGTACAAAGCTCACTACGTGTCTTAGACGTCATTTGTGCCATTGGATCGTATTATACGTCGTTTCCTGGACGAGACGCGGTTTCACAAACTCGCCACGAATGCTGCTTTCAGCGTGCCATGGCCTTGGCTGCAGCGACGAGTGGTCATCACTCTATTCAGCGAGTCACATTACTCCTCGTGCAATGCTTCTATCTATTAGCTGTATCAAAGACTGACAGGTCAGTTTGTTTACTAAGAGGCCCTGAACATCAATGTCTAATACTTAAACAGTTGTTGGACGACGCTTGGACAAGCAGTCCGTATAGCTCAAAGCATAGGGCTACATGTTGAATCTCCAAGTCCCAAGTCTAGAAGTGCCACTGAACTAGAACGTAGAAGGAGAACATGGTACTCCATCTATGTTCTTGATCGGCTGCTGTCTCTTCAGCTAGGTCGACCACCAGCGATTCATGATCAAGATTGCAACGTGGCGCTACCATCTCAGCGTGCAGATAACGAGATAGATTGGACTTCCGATGCAATGGAACCTCCCGAGGAAAGCCCGTCGGCAGGCGATTACTTTATTGCGGTCATTGACTTCTCCCAAATCGTGGGCTGCGTCCTGCGCGATGTTTATGGCCCAGTCCATTCGAGGCCGACCCCAGAAATGATATTGGGCACGCAAAATCTGGATCGCAGGCTTGTTGAATGGAAGCTGGGCCTTCCTCGGAAGCTACGCTTCGATTTGGGTCACTCGTTTGACCAAAACAATACCTTTAGACGTCAGGTAAGCTACGTTTTATGTTCTCAGACGCTTTGATGTTAATAGAAAGTCGCAGAGAAACATGCTTGCAATCAAATTCCATCATTTACGAGCCCTTTTACACCGTCCATACCTATGTTATCCTCTTTTACGACAGCGGGATGACTCTCCTATGAGTTTGTCACAATTAGACTGGCCACTGATTGCCGTCTTTGAGAGGATTTGTATTGATGAAGCCCAGGGAACTGCTCGTCTGCTCCACCACGTTTCCGACGAACAGGAATTAGTGCATGAGTTCCCCTGGTGGCAGATGATATCTTGTCTGATCTGTGCCGGGTCCATATTGCTTGTGTCGAGCATCTTCGCGCAGCAGCTTGATGATCACAGTGGATTCGACAGTGAAGGTTTACGCGATGATGCGGAGACGTGCTTGAAGATATTTGAGGCGCTGAGCAGTAATTCAAAGAGTGCAAGGATTGCGAGGAATATGATTCAAGGTCTGAAGCAGTCTGGTTCAGAATGGCGAAGTAAGTACACCTCTCCCTGATTATATCATATGTCTTACCTGAGATCCAGAACAGGCTGGCCAAGGGACTGTCGCAGTCCCGTTCTCACAAACTTTGAGTCAGCCTGATGCTTCGATGCCGCTTCAACATACCTCTGCTGCTGGAGTTCCGGTCTCGCAAGAAATGCTGAGTCTGCAAGACCAGAACGTTGAATTATTATCAGATGCCATACCAACTCCTCAGAACTGGCCAGCTGAGATTACAGATTCCATGGCTTGGTCATCGCAGTTCTTGGACACATTTCAAGGAGATGGAAGTTGGATTTGAAGGCGAGAGGGCATGACTAGGAGCTCCGGCCAATTTATTCCCTGGATCATCTTCAAAACTGGTTGAATGGGATCTTGCTGAAGGTTTACGTCGTACGGAGATAAACCAATGCCACCTTTAAAGACGCTGTATTGAGTTAACTTCTAATAGGCTAAGGCTGAGTCCCGGAGCACAAGATACTACAAATATCTGGTGTTGTTCATGATGAGCATGTAGTAGGGAGATTAACAGTCCTATTTACATATAAACATTTCTCTTAATAGTTCCAAAACTCAAGTAACACTTCTTAGACAATAGTTACAGATCCCGTTCTCTACTGCGGTAAGCATCTGCTGTCTACTCCCCCCTCATAGACCGCAATAGTTACACAACGTCTATCCTCAACTAGATGTCGTCTCTAGCCCTTCGCATGCGCAGACATGGTTTGTCTCAGATGGATCCTCAAAAACGATCTTGCCTTGGCTATCATACCAAATCTTCTTCGCTTTGGATTGTCGGAGCCAATCCACGCCGTTATTCGCCTCGCTGTCGTGGTAAAAGAGCCACCATTGGCCTTTATAATCGACGATGCTACCATGGGTTGTCCAGCCCGAGACCGGCTCAAGTAGTCTGCCCTGATAGGTGTATGGGCCGTAAGGATTGTCGGCAGTAGCGTAGACATAGTAACGAGTGGTACCAGTAGAATAGCTAAGGTAATAGATATCACCTCTTCTATGTATCCAAGGTCCTTCGAAATAGCGACGGTCTTTATCACTCGAAAGTATAGGTTGACCAGTCTCGGGTGCCAGGATAACCATGTCTCGCGGAGCTTCAGCCAACGTATGCATATCGTCGCTTAATAGAGCGATCTGAGGGCTCAGAGCATACTCGTTATCATCTGGCTCCTTTTGCCCAGACCAAGAACCGTCAAACTGGGTCTTATTCTGCCAGCACTGAAGCTGTCCGCCATGAAGTCCGCCCCATGCTAGGTATGTCTTTTGATCGAAATCAGTGAAGCTCGCTGGGTCAATGCTAAAAGTGCCAGGAATGTAACTCTCATCAGCTTTGAATGGACCACCAGGGTCTTCAGAAACAGCTACGCCGATTCGGAAGATGTTTTCTTTATCCCTAGCAGGAAAGTAGAGATAGTACTTCCCACCCTTGTAGGCAGCATCAGGCGCCCACAACTGTCGAGAGACCCAAGCAACATCCTCTACAGAAAGGGCCAGGCCATGATCGGTAACTGGCTCGGAACCGTAGATATCTTCCATGGAATAAACATAATAGTCTTTCATGGCAAAATGATCGCCCTCCAAGTTCAGAGGAATCCCCGCATCATAGTCGTGAGATACATAGAGGAAAAGCTTGCCTTGAAAGACATGGGCTGATGGGTCGGCAGTCAGCCTTTTAGTAATAAGGGCGGGAATTTTGGCCATGGTCGACAGTGTCGGGGAGGTTGTGAGAAATGGTCCGGCAAACTTGGATTATGAATGTCAAGTGCTCAGTCCGCGAGTTAAGAAATGATTAAATAAGTAGTGACAAGGGCTACACTCGAAGATTCTAAATATTATATAGTTTTATAGCAGCGGGGGCACTTCTAACACTTTATCAGCCCGACCATGTTGATGCGCCTTTTCCTTCTCGAATACTAATGAAAATTAGCAGCCCCGGTGGGAGAAAAGGGGATATCCCATGATGTACTTGAAGCTAAGTCAGGCAGAAGCAAGAAAAGACTTGCAACTTGGATGTTCAGGCCTTTGCAAGAATCAGCTAGCCCGACGCTAAGCTTTGGCCAATGTTCTTGTTCTGGGAAATCCCAAAGATAATTAGCCGGATAAATACAAGATTCTGCGGGCAAGAACAAAGTTTAATTTCTTCAACCGGTGATCGATGGACAAGGGGTGGTCTGCATGGTGCAGATCAGTGGCTTGCAACGCTAAACTACAAATGATTGAGATTAGCCGGGATGCGCGGTGTTGATTAACAGTATCCGCCTTGGGGTACAAGTTAAGCCGCGGCAGAAAAGGGTTCCGTGTGACTGCAGCTCAGGCTCCAGGAGAGCCAGTACCGCTTCGACGATTGGACTTCGCAGCGAGTCCCAATGGCGGAACCGAGAAAGCGGGCGTATCCTCCGCTGACCATTGTATAGCTCATTCATTCGCCGTTGTTTTATAGTTACGATGTCTCTAACTTTCCATAGGCCGTGATGTTGGCCGTTGTGAAGAGAGTGAGGAAGATTGCAAACGCCTGGTCCAAATTTCAGCTTACACGGCCGACAACTCGGGGCGCATCGTAGCCTTTATAGGGCACGACGGGCTCACAGAAAGATACGGGAGTTCCTTTGTAAGGACTAAGATAGAACTAGCAACGGGATTAAAGTCAAGATCTTTAAAAACATGTTCCAATATGTGCTAACCAGCACTTGAGCCTAAGATTAAATGGACGGTGAGGGAATTGCAGTATTGGGACTGATATAACAAGAATGGCTTCGCCCTATCATTTGTCTAACCTACTTACACAGCTTTTGAACGTGCTTTGAACTCCTATTTTGTGTTGGTAAGATTTGTGCAGAGTCCATACTTGTAGTTGAGGCTGGTGGCCGAGAGCTGATATCACCACAGAAAACTTAGCTCAGGAGAGACGCCATTTATCCTACTAACAACAGGAGATATATAATTAGACACAGGATTCTAACTATATAAGAATACGGCACTATTGAGATCTACTCATCTCGGCGAGCGTCACAGTGCTACATTTCTTTAGTACAACTCTTATGCCCTATATTGGCATTATGATACAGGGAGTGGACGGCGCAAAAGACACTGGCAAAGAGAAGGTAATTCTACACGGAGTACTTGAAACGAGACTGCATGTGATGAGATAACTTTCGTTATTGACTAAATGCTGTTCGAACTTGACAGATAAGCCTCCCAAGTAAAAAGACTACACGATCAGCAAAGTCAACGGATCCTCGATGTCCCCTTCAATAGGAGAATTCCCACGCATATGCGGTTCCAGTATCAGTCTGGTACAGAATGATGTCCAGTTTATCGTCGGAATATGAAGTAGAGGGGTACTTGCCACAGGACGATGGAGCTTCGACTTTACCCCACCACCCAGCACTCGGGAAGGCAAGGCATGTGATATTAACGGTACCGTGGGATGGCAGTCCAAGGGCACTGAGTGTCTTCACCTCAATAGTCCACGTGCCCTTCTTCTGACGGCTGCCAGCCAGAAGCCTCACTACACGAGCCTTGGTGTCAACCGTGGCGTACACATCCACGACCATGTCTGGGGACGGCATGGTTCCGACGCGGTGTCCTGTCATCGACTGTGCATAGTACTTGTAGACCTTGTACTCGCCATTGGGGAAGTAGCCTGTAGCATTTGCAGCAGCATTTGGCGCGTTGGGCTTTGAGACAAGGTTGGCCAGATAATCGTATAGACCGGGGTAACCCTGCCAATTTCCGCGGAGGCCAGGTGCATCGACGCGTTCAAGCTGGGAAATCCACCATGCTCCACCACTAGAGACTTGCTCAGACGCAGTGGCATATTCATTGATGTTGATGTTGTTGTAAGGAAGGCCGTAATGATCCAAAAGCGAATGAAAACCTGCCGTCGACTCCAACATGTTCTGGGAGCCGCCGCTTTCCATGTGCCAGGTCCACGTATCGGGTATGCAATTATTGGTCTTGATGTATTGCGCAAACGTAGTCCACCAGCCATTAGATAACTTGGGTTCAGCCGATGTCGAAGGCCCCTGAATTGTGACATCAGTGCCGAAGGCTTTCCGGAATGCATTGTAGGATCTACGCCACATTTCGAGAGCCTGCGACTGAGAACGTGTCCAGTACCAAGAACCATCAACTTCGTTAAAGATTTCGATGATGAAGTCGTCCAGACTAACCCCATAGCTCTTCATGTCGGCGATGACAGCTTGGGTGAAGGTGTCCCAATCTGTCCAGTTTCCATTGTCACCAGGGTATGGCCCGTTGTTCAAATCCCATTCTCCGTAGAGTGTTTCATATAGGCAAATGAACTTGGCACCAAACTTCTTTGCCGCCTGGTAATTGCTCATCACCTCTTTCATACGGTTCTAGCTTTGTCAGTTGGTTCGGTTCAAGTGATGATCAAAGACATACCTCGTATTGAGTACGACCAGCGAGCCATCCACCGGCTGGAGAAGGCAGTGAAGGCCCCCCACCGCGAGCGAAGTTGAAACCCCAGTCAGTGTACATATGATCTGGAATCTGCGATGCATTATCAGGAATGCCAAAGATAATGCCAGATGCGAGGTGGTTGGTGGAGCCTGTATTGTTTGATAAGGAGACAACCGCTGTACCTGACGACTGTCGAGGTACAAGGCCTGGGATTGCTGCCACTGGCGTGACACCCAAGAAGGCGGGAAGAAGGGCCAAAAGCGAAGATTTCATTTTCGATCTCGAGATCTATCGTGGAGAACTGAGCTGAAGAAGTCTTGTATTTGGCGGCATTATCTCATTATTTATATTACTTCAGAGTCAACACGCTACCTTTCCATTTGGAGTATTGCACATCGCACATCGAGGTTGTGGGAGGCATTATCACGCAAGTGAATCCCATATGCTGTCCCAACCTGGAACCATCATTGACCCTCATGATAGTTGTGGTTAATCATAAGACCAGAGTCTACACATCAATTTAGCCGGAAGCCCACCGGGCAGAAGCTTGGTCAGAAAGAATTGAGCTGCATGACATTCTGTACATGTATTGAATTACCTGATGAAAAGTAATAATTGCTTCCAGCCCTGCTGGCAGATAGGGGAGTGTCGGGGGAAATCCCTAGTGATGTATTCACTAGTTCCAATCATATGCATCTCCTGCTAGCGCCACTGCCGGCATCCGAGACGGATTGATTATTCGCCAATCCTGAGATACCACACTAACTCATAAAGTTTGATAGTTCCTGTAGATCTGCTCCAAAAGAGCGCCAAAGCACAACGGCACTTGTAAACGGGAAGTTAGATCGCGCTAGCGACCTTGGCTGGAAACGTACAATGTCAAGAGCCTGCTCGGAGCTCTCCGTTGAGACTGAAGCAATATCGATATTGGGCTCTATTCTCATCAAAGCTGTTGGCAAAGATAATCAGGCTAAAATCAACTCGCCGGCTTCGTGGTTACCTAGCTGAAAGCCTCGCATACCACGCCCACCGGGATGAAGTAGAAGTGACTGTCCGGTGGGCGTGAAACATACCCCGAGATCTGAACATGGAGATATCTGGAGATATCTGGGGTAAGGCTTGGCGGGGAAGAGGCAGATAAAAAGGTCTAGGCTTATTAGTGAAGGTACCAAGGCAATAAAAGGCATCTTCATTCCAGAAACATCAATCTCTCATCTCCAGACTTGACTCCATAAGCTCATCAAACAATTCTTCATCTTTCTTCTGAATCGACTTTCTTGCAGTATGGAACCTGACAAGGAGGCTACCGCCAATCATGTGGAGGCTTTGAACGAGCCTCCAGTGGTGACTCAGGAAAAGTCTATCACGTCGCAGCAAAGGCTGGCCTTCATTGCGGAGAAGGAAATGACCCTCCTTGCTGGTCTCAAGAAATACCCCTGGTCCGTGTTCTGGTCTGTCATAGTCTCCATGATAATCGTCATGGAGGGTTACGACATTGTCTTGCTGGGCGGACTCCTCCCCCAGCCCGCCTTCAGGAAGCACTACGGGAGCTATAGCGATGCCCATGGCTGGCAGATTTCCGGGCCCTGGCAGGCCGGCCTGAACAACGCTACCACCTGCGGTACCATCTTTGGCGCCCTGGCAAACGGATACCTTACTAGCGGTTTGGTTATCGTCGTACTGTGCTTGGGGCGCTCCTTTTCATCAACGCCACCATCGCGATGCAAGTCTTTGCGACCTCGCTAGGCATGCTCGCTGCTGCCAACTTCCTCTGCGGTTTGCCTTGGGGACTATTCTCGGTCATGGCTCCAGCTTACGCGTCTGAAGTCACCCCTAATGTTCTTCGCGGTTATCTCGCCAACTTTGTGTGTTTCTGCTGGGCTGCGGGAATGTTGATCTCCTCGGGCGTCCAAACAGCGTTTTCCAAGCGCCAGGACCAGTGGGCATATAGAATACCGTATGCAATCCAATGGGCATGGCCAGTACCGCTGATGTGCATCCTTTGGTTTGCGCCAGAGTCACCCTGGATCCTGGTCCGCAGGAAGAACTATGCCGAGGCAGGGCGGATGATTGAGCGACTCTCATCGAAGAATGAGATGGTCGACAAGGACGCCGTCGTTTCTATGATGAAACACACTATTGAGACAGAGCAAGAACTTGAGGCCGGCACTTCCTACTGGGATTGCTTCAAAGGTGCTAATCTAAGGCGGACCGAGATTTCCTGCGTGGCCTTCATGTGCCAGCAATTTGATGGCACAGCTATTACAGGCAACGCTGTTTACTTCTTCACGCAGGCAGGTGTCGGGACCGAGACTGCGTATAACCTCTCTGTGGTGTCCCTCGCCCTGTCTTGTGTTGGAGTGGTTGTGTCCTGGTATCTGATCTATCGGTTTGGCCGTCGAACTCTATATCTCTTCGAGCTATGGACTTCACTCATTGGCCTTCTCGCCGTAGCCACCGCTGCGACGATATCTGATTCACAGAAGAGCAGCTATGCGCAAGCCGGCATCGTCATATGTTCCGTTCTCATTCGGTTCGCTACCACAGGCCCTGTATGTTATGCGATCCTCGCCGAAATATCCTCAGTCAGCCTCAGGAGCAAGACCATATCAATTGCACGAGTCGCCTATTATATTTCACAAATTGTTTGCAACACCTTGCAAACATATCTCATCAACCCGACCGAACTGAATCTCAAGGGAAAGTCAGGCTGGGTTTGGAGCGGTAGCTGCATTCTCCTCATCGTGTGGGCGTATTTCCGTCTTCCAGAGACAAAGGTCAGTACTTCACGCGCAAGGGCTTCGTAACAAGACTTACACTGACTTTAATGTAGGATCGTCTCTTTGAAGAGATCGATTTGTTGTTCGCAAACAGAGTCCCTGCTCGGAAATTCCGAGTGACAGATGTCGACCTCTTCGATTTCACCGGCACCAAGGAAGATGAAAAGGCATGAGCGGGAGGCCTGGCAACACCAAGACGGATTTCTACTGAGTTTGTTTCTCCAAGAATCTTTGGCTATTGAACTTATATCTGTGCCAACGACGAAGGCTTTTCCATGATTCAAGTACCATCTTCGTTAATTCAACAGCTTGTGGAAGCATGCGCCAGGTTCTACCTACCAGCATGTTCAAGTAACTTACTGTGATTTAACATTATCTCCTGTCAATATATCACCTGCTTGTAAAATCCCATTGCTTGTTAAGAAGGATAAAGAGTGTGGTCTGGCAAAGATAATTGATTAAGGCTTGTTATCAGCCGAATTCAGTTACAGTACGCAGTGGTACGAATGATGGTGATTGAGTTGAGCGACGGCGGTAGGCCACAAGTCCTAAAATGGTCTCCTATAAAGGTGACCAAGATATAGTGGGGTTCCGAGTAATTATCTCCCCTATCTCACATACCAAGGCCAAGGCACATCAAGCAACCCTTTCCTCTCCCCTGGGACTCCTGGCGCTGTATCTTAGACTACGGAATATTAGCATGATATCTATTAGGCTATCTTGAACCTCGAAGAATACTTAATCCCAGGAATCCATTGGCTATCACAGCTACTATCTTGTTGAATTTTAACCAACTTAAATGTAGTAATTATAGGCTTCAAGCCACAGATATTAACTATAAATAATAGAATTGAGTTTTATATTACACTAACGAAATAAGCGGCTGCGTTGCATGTATCCACGATATCCAGGATATCCGGAATATCCGACTCTACCGTGAAAAGCCCACTGTGCCGTGTGCTGATCTACTCTCTCTGGGTCCCTTTACCGGGCATCTCTGTTAATTCTTTCTTATATAAAATCAATGGTTTGAGCTAACACTACCATCACTCCATCTCATCTTCATCTTCATCCTAACGCTTCAGAAACGGTACTACATATTACGACAAACATGGCCGCCCATAGGCCTGTACAAAAACCACAAGATGCTCTCCTTCGACATCATCTCACCGAGGGCTGTCAACATGGCTCGGAACGTGGAGATACACAATCTCAACCCGATCCTGGGCTTGGAAACGAGAATCAAAGTCCCGATGGTGCCGCGGAGAATTGCGACTTGGACGAAATAGCTCCCATCGCTCCCATCCCGTTGCCAGACGGCTTAATCGATCATAGGGATCGCCTAGAGCGCATTCGGCAAACGGAGATAGAACTTAAGGGTGAAGAGACTCGAATTCCGGATAAGCCCTTGCCTACCACCGACAAAGCCCTTTCGTTGACTACAAAACTTCACACCCACTCCTATCTAATCTTTTTCTCCATCCTGGGAACGCTCGCCAGAGAAGGCATGACAGCACTCCTCGTCTATCCCGGGGCACCAGTCATCTTCCCAACGCTATGGGTGAATTTTGCAGGGTGTCTTGTCATGGGGTTCCTGGCCGAGGACCGTATGCTGTTTCGCCATGAATGGGGTCCTGACACCAGCGGAACGGTTTCAGATGACACCCCCACGGACTTAAAAAGTACAGACCTTGAGGCAGCAAAAAAGTCACATCTTAACGTCAAAAAGACCTTGCCCCTCTACATCGGCCTTTCGGTTGGGTTCTGTGGCTCGTTTACAACTTTCTCGACATTCGTCCTCGATTCCTTTCTCGCCCTTTGCAACGGACTCGAAACTCCTTCTGCGCCAACATCTGACCGGAATAAAGGTTACTCGGTCTGTGCGCTTGCATCTGTGGTCTTACTCACGGTTCATGTTTCCTTGGGTGGTCTCTTTCTCGGTGCCCATCTTGCTATATTCGCTCAAGATAATATGCCCTCACTACCCTATATCTTTATGCGCAAGGTTTTGGACCCAATTGCTACCATTCTCGGCTGGGGCTGTTGGATTGGAACGATAGTTCTATGCATCTATCCGCCTTCTGATGACTGGCGCGGAAGTGTCCTGTTCTCCCTGGCCTTTGCCCCTCTAGGTGTATTCACGAGATTTTACCTTGCAGTCTTTTTGAATGGCAAACTCCCAACTTTTCCATTGGGGACATTTGCTGCCAACGTTTTAGGTGCTCTAATCCTCGCTGTGGTCTGGGACTTATCTCAGATTCTTTCAAGGCCTTCCCTTGGATACCAGTTGCTTGAGGGTGTCAAGAATGGCTACTGTGCCGTCGTTACTACTGTTTCCACTCTCGCTCTGGAGCTCTCTTCTCTCCAACGAAAACACGCTTATAGATATGGCACTGTCAGCTTCTTGGTATCTTTTGGGTTGGTGGTAATCATTTCTGGTAGATTCAAATGGCCACGTTGATACCAGTGAATTATGGAACTGCAAAATATTGCATTTCATCTATTATACAAGAGTTGATCTTTACACACTTGTTTCTAAATTCCTTCAGGTTTGAACACAAGAATAAAAATGAATGCAGAAACATCGCACCGTCATCTGTGCCAATGAAAGTCTGGCTAATCTTGTATCTCTAGATCTTCCTTCACATCTAGCACTCCCCGTCACTGTCTTAGTCATTTAATAATACCCATGTTGCAAGTCTCAGACCTAGCGTTGGCATCTAGCACTGTCAAGTGTCCCGATATTCTTCTTCTCTGATGAGCGGCCTCTGTAAATTATGCATTTGTTGTTGAAATACAGGGAACTATCCCCTTAGTCCCAAATAAACATTCTCACCAACGCATCCCTCATGCAATGCATCATGCACTCGGACTCTGAGATATGTGTGGACAACATGTCTGCCAATTCGTTAGTATCCATTATGTTCTCCTCCTCTTTGCACTTCAAACACTTTACCTCGATAAACTCCAACAGACTTTGAACGCCATTCGGGCACAGCTCATAGTTTTGAAAGAAATAGCCTGCTTCACATCGATCAACGGTCATATCGGTTCCCAGGTCTTTATCGCAGACTTGACACTTCATCTGGAAGTAATTCTCATGACACATTGTTTGGGTTCTGGATCTGGCCGAGATATGTTGAGCAATGGTATGTAGTTAGAAAATGCTGGGATGTTGATCTTGTTGCTGCCGTTGTATGCTATAAGACGACAACAACGCTTTCCTGGATATAGAATACAAAAGATGTATCAGGTGCCGGTAGTGTCGGTCCTTTGGCTTGTTTCTGGCAGCGGCTCGGACCTTTCAGTTTTTTGCATCTGCTGCTGCTGAGGGATGAACTAGGTATATATATGGAGGTTTCTTTGTTCTTCCACCTGGAACCCGAACATTCCGCAAGCAGAGAACGTAGGCGCTCCTGTTTTGAGGATGAACATACTTGTCGGATTGGCATGGAATCCGGATGTCCTATAACGCTGGATATAGTTTAGGCTGTCTTTCAATTTCTATTGTAGCCATGTTTTGGTCAAGCTATTTTCCTGCTCCCTGTGGGTGCCTTTATATACAAACTCTAATCGGGTATCCCAGGCTCTTCAAGAGCTTCTTCAATGTTTGTATCACCCACTGCAGCACCAATTCTTTTCAGTTGCGTTATTCAGCCTTTTGGTGCTCTGGATTACACATTAGACAGTCGCCCACTGATCTGACTCTTTGTTCAGAGCGAACATTGGTCACACCTTGCACGCAGAAATCATTACGGGCTTCTTTCCCCTTGAGGAAATCCCAAGGCATCCTGTGCAGACGCGAGAGCATTATGGTGTTGCGCCGTATGTCGTCCCCTTCTGATCATTGGTAACTCCTCTTCTACTCCATCAGCACAACAGCAACAGCCCAAAACCAACATGTGACAGAATTATTCTAATCACTGTAGCGGGCGGTAAACAGACAATCACACAGCTTGATTCGTGTGACGCTGGCCGCGATACCAACGACCCTTTCAAAGCCCCTGTCCTCATAATTGGGGGCCGGAATTTACAGGCTCTCCAAAGTCGCAATCTACACGTGCATCCCTGTAATTGGTGAGGCCTCTTTTTGGTACTTCAGTGCGACCAAGACGCTGATAAAAACATGATTTGCCCATTTCGCGCAGCTGAATCATACCCCTGCTGCATGGATGCCTAGTGAGGCGTTCAAGGGTCTCGGTACTTTGACCGCGAGCTGTGATTCAAAAAGCCTCATAAGCCACCAAAGGCAAAAAGGTGCAATTTTCCTTTATCTTTTGTCACTATCACTGAGTTTCTGCGTCACAAGTGCACACAGCCAATCACAGCAAACATTCATCATGTGCACCGAACACTTTACGCACTTTTACTGCATGTACTGCAGTGTATGCATCAGGAAGGGATATGAATGGGAGATTTGTCAAATTGCTCAACAGACGGAGTCAAAGGCTATGGGGTCGTGTGGATACACGGATGATGGGGTTGTTGCGAGCGTCTCGGAATATTGTCAGCAGTGTCCGCCTGACGACAGGAAGTGGAACAAAGTTACGCTTGACGGTGAAACAAAGACACAATTAGCTTGAGGAATTGTTGGATCTATATGACAATCAATGTTTGCTTGCTCTGAGGGGCAACGGGCTTAGCAAACGGCACGTCACGACCCCAACTCTTTACAATCACCGATGGATATCATCTTCTACTGGCCTTTACTGAGGATCTCTCTGTTTGGGCTGCAACACTAAGAGTCAAGATTCATATTCTGCCTGTCATTCACTGTCCTCGCCCTCAAGCTATGGCTATAAATCCCCCTGTCCTACGTCCCTCTCGACCCTCAGACCACGAATTTCAACGCTGCCTAGTCTGTGCATCTCTATCCTAAACCCACAACGTAATAAACTCGTTCCCCTCACAATGTGCTACCACGTAACAGTCAACTACATGTGCTCAGTTTGCAGCAACAGAATCGAATGTGACAGACACAGCCTGAGATGTCAACGAGCTTACCGTTCTTTAACAGGAGTCTTCGGGTCTTGTGGAAGCACGTACTCAGAAATGATATGGAATTATCAGGAGACATGTAGAACGTGCGTAAATCCCGAGGAGCCGGAGCTTCCTGGTCCTGAGCACTTTGTTCTCCCGCGCTTGCGCCCACCTTACCCAGGCACGGGCTAGAGGTACGGGCCGTGGTATCGTAAAGATCCCGATGGAATCTATAAGATGTGGCTTGTGTAAGGCGTTTATTTTCAGTAATGACCATACTACATTCAGCTCTGGGGCAGTGAATAGTACAGGTAAGGGTCTGCACTGAGAAATTGTAACGTATTGTAATTGTACTTACTATCCTGCTACAAAGCCCATCTTGCGACACTATCGGGTTATTTTGACGAATCACATTTCGCATCATCTAAGTTGAAATATGCAGTGAATCACTGGGCATTGACTTTTTCTAATGTCCAAATCGCTGATTAAGTGCCTTTGAAAAAGTATTCTCGTGGTCTTATCACCCCCTTCAATTCGCATCCATTTGCAGTTAGGTATCTATAAATGCCGCCATCTCCTATCAAGGCATAATTTCTCTTGATCTATTCAAACACCCAACCTTCCCTTGAAGAAAATACAACGAAATCCGAGTCAGTTAACGTATCGAAATGTGCCACGATCTAACAATTCATTACATGTGCCCAGTCTGCGGGAACCGGTGGAACTTTGAGAAGCACGGTCTCATGTGCAGGAAGGCCAACGAAACTAGGAGCAGACTATTCGCATCGTGCGGGAATGAATATCCAGTGACGTTATGGAATCAGGAGGAGATCTGTGAAGAGTGTTTGGCTCGTGATCAGCTTCATCCTCCGCTTGAGGTGGTTATTACAAGGCGGTAGCAGGCCGACAACTTAGGGCTATTATAGTTAGGAATGTCTTCTTTTAGCGCATCGTAACTTCGAATTTAATATCATCTAGATTATTACACTCAGGTATGTGACTCCTTGACGGTCTTTGCTTTGGGCGCCAGCGAATGGTCCGTCTGGTATTGCTTGCTTAACAAGGCGGCAGTGCCAAACACTGCATTGCATTTCTTTCACTCTGACAAAGAATCCTCTATAGAGATATCCAGAATCTTTTTGCACTAATTCTCAACTTCAAGGTCTCTCCGGCATCACTCTCAACCTTTTTCTTCCCTCATCCCACAAAACAAACACCCTCACAACCACGACATCACAACCGCCACCATGTGCGTAGCCATGACCCGCGTCTTCTACTGCATGCGCTGCAACAACGAGATCTACGAAGAAATGGAATGTCAAGAGTGCCCGCTCTTCAGCCAGTACGAGCGCTGCGGAAAGACCGACGTGAACCTAAGCTTCAAGTGCGCAGCCGACCTTTGCATTCTATGCGCTTCGTTTCCGCCGGAGAGCCAGGTTCCCTTTTTGTCGCAGCCTCCACAGGGGAGTACTTCTACTATTATGCGTCATTTGAGACTTATGTACGGTCGGCGTTGATGGATGTGAGTGTTTCGCTGAAAGTCGTGTGCAGCTATTTATTAACTCTATAGACTTTTACAGATACGCCCGCAATGATGAAGATGATACAGAATCGATCGGCGAATCAGGTATGGGACATCACGGGCTCTGTTACAGAAGAAAGATTGGTGATCAGCTGCGAGGATATCTTGGCTGTTAGGACAGAGACTGGACCGCTGACGACTTTGCTACATTTTGGTGGCCAATACCTCGGTGAAACTGGACCTTGGGCCTGAGTTTGCGACCTCTATCATCGAGACAATAAACCCAAACACTTTTCATCGCACCTGATAGCTTTTGATGATTCAGAGCATACATGCTATTGTTCTCTCCAAATCCATATGTTCATAAAGTTTGCACAGTCTGAATGAGTCGTGTTCAGCACAACAAAGCCATTATTCAATTGCTATCTCCATATTCATGGGTGTCCCCATTCGCCTTTACGAACATCAAGACCAGTCACGGCCAGTTCGTCATGATCTCGACTATAAATTCAGCCCACTTTCTCTTCTTTTCTGAATCAATCCATCCTTCAGCCTCCAACTTCCTGCCAACTTCATAACCCAAACTTTACCACACACAACCCGTATACAGATTTCCGTCATTATAATATTCATCATGTGCCAAATGATCAACACCACTGAGCTCTGTATCAACTGCGGCAAGACCGTTGGCACGAAGCTCAAGCGAGACAAGTGTCCGCATTACGGCACCACCAGATGCAAGCAGGAAAACCTATATGTCACGAAGAAATTCTCCGCGAGCAACTGCTCCAAGTGCTCAAAGGATGGGAAGAAGAGTGGAAAGAAGTGGGTGAGGGTTCTCGTCCGCCTCTGGAGGCAACAGTTAGGTCAACTGTTTTGATAGCGCATTAGGCAAGATAGGAGCAGGTCATCTTGTCATGGAATTAGATATTCACTTGCTCGGAAGGGTATTCTAGAGCTGGCTCTATGGCTAATGGGATACTATTAAATTCCGAACTCTTCAATTTTTGTCATGACCTCTAAACCTTCTCACAGAACCTACAATTAGTATGACAGCCTTTGGCTGACTTTCTTATATCTAGATCACTGGTCTATTGTTGCGGCATCAGGTATAGTTTGAAATATGTACATGAAAAGGTATGGAGGGTTTGATCTCAGCCATACTCGCCCAGGGAACCAGTGATGACAATCGACAACACTTCATGCCGCTCGACTCACCTGCCCAGCGACTTCAGTGTTGAGCAGCTGCTAAACGAGTATATAACCTCGCTCCCCATCGGTTCCATCTAGGCTAAACAAACGTGCATAAAGTCTCGGCAACGACACTAGACTCAATCAATCCGGATTGGCAACAATTTTACCAAAACTATAACCTCGTATTATCCTCCACAGTGTGCATTGTCCATCACTACAAGATAATATGCCAGAAATGTGGCAACAATATCAGAACTGACATGGATCGTCAGAAATGCAACAAGGCAAACAAGGGGGAGAGGTGTCTCAAACGGTACAAAAATGGGGGTGAGCAAAAGGAGAGTGAGTTGGGATGCAAGGTTTGCAGAGCTGCAAAATTGAAGAAGCGATAGCGCGGCTTAGACTGGAGTGTAGCTAGATATTCTCGTCTGTAGGTTTGTTGCTCTTCTCAGGTCCAAGCATAGTTCAAGCGTTTGATATCCTGTCATCCGTTTGATGATTGTCCAATTCTTCGCTTAGGAAGCGCTAAAGTCCAGTGAGTCTTTGTGGTCTCGAATGATTATGCAAACGTTGCTTCAGTCTTTCGGACTCAATAATGAATGTGATTAAGTGCTATTTGAATGGGCAAGATTCAAACGGTCTCAGCAGAGCCACAAGTATAAATACCACTACACCCACCTCCATCCCGTCTCCGAGATCTCCATGATCTCCATCAACCTCACCATCTATCCCTTGACTCTATACTCAAAAACACTGTATCACTGCTAAGAACAAACTCTTCTCTCAACCATGTGCTTCATTCACACCACCCGGCTCGTCTGCATTAAATGCGGCCATCAAACCCCCGTCCCAAGAACAGCCCCCTGCAAGGAGGCGAACAATGTTGAACAGCCGTGCCAGAAGAAGCGTATGCAGACGACTACCTTGATCGATTCCTCCAAGTGCCCCCAGTGCAAGGCCAAGGCGGCTAAGGCTAAGGAATGCAAGACTGAGGCGGAGGGCGAATGAACACTGCATGCTGAAAGGGGTCTAAGGCTTTGGAAATCACGACTAAATTGACATTGGGCTTTGGGCACAAAAATGGCGGATTGGGTAGTGAAGCAATCTCAGTGGCAGTCCAAATACTATTTGTTGACTTTTATTGATAGCCATGCCCGTGAAACATTGCACAAGTCTGACATGTTGACTCAGCCGTTCACTCGCCGTGACACATCTGGACACCGACGATAGAATGAAAAGGCCACTGTGACACTCCAACCCTCCAACGCCGCTGTGCATAAATAACTCCATAGCTCAAGCCCCCTGCTTTCCTCTCATATCTCGTATCTCCACTCACCATTAACTACCATTCAACATGTGCAACCTAGTCTTTACCAAATACCGCTGCCGAGTCTGCGACCACATCATCGACCATGAAACCGTGACAGGAAAGTGCAACTCTGCCAAGAAATCGGGCAGAGCTTGTGTAAAGCAAAAGATAGTGGCTTCGACTGTTCATACAGATCAGAAGAATTGTAAGGACTGCGTTAAGAAGAAGAAGGAGGGTCAGAGGGGGGTTAAACGTAAGCTTTGGAGGTTTGGTTTTGGGATCTAGAGGGAACATATTCCCTCAAAGCTTGGGTATTTTATTACTCACCAAACTCTTGCCTTTAACGTCTCGGTGATGCTGTATGTCTTGGGCTGAGGGTTTGTGGATGGATGTACCCGCAGTTTGTGATACAGAGCACGGCATTCGGTAACTTGACGGTTCTTCGGTGAAGCACTTCAAGGACTTTACGTAAATAGCAGATCAGCTCATTTTATCCTGCCTACCATTAACTCTCTTTCTACCCCTCTCGTCAGCTGAACGTTCCAAATGTGCACTATCCACAGTACAGGCTATCTCTGCAGGAAGTGCTCCTACCTCGTCTCCATGCCCGTGGAGGAAATAAAATGCGCTCACTTTCTGGAGAAGAGACCTGGTATTTGCTTCACGACGACGAGGCATGATACCATCTATGTTCATGAGGAGGAGTGTTTGCAGTGCAAGGAAGCGAAGACGAAGGCCAAGGGCAAAGGAAGGGCGGACAGTTTATAAGTTTGCTTGGAGGACGACTTCACAGCTACTGTGTTCTTTATAGACTGATGTCCAAACGATAACGCCATAGTTTGGTGTCAAGTTCGTTGCCTTGTTCGTATGACTGAAAGGCTCTGTATCCGAGCTGCTTGGGTGCCCAATTACCTTGTTCGGTCGAAACATTCACTGCTTCAAGACCTTTCCGCGACCAACCCGAATGCTCCTATGTGCTCATGAACAAACACATAAAATATCGCTTTTCTCTCATATAAATATGGCAGGGTTCCTTACTTGAATCACCAACGTATCCCCATCATCCACAGACATACTCAACTGACACAAAGAATCAACTCACCACAAACACAAACAACACAAATCAAGCATCTCCACCAAGTCAAACTCACCAAAATGTGCCAACTATCCAGCAACGCTACCATTTGCGAATCCTGCCGCCATCTCATCAGCTACACCTCCAACAAGTCCTTCTGCTCTCTCGTCATGAACCCCATGACGAGTAGTCTGAGCATGAACTCCACTGATGAAATCGAGGAGAGGGCGTGTCTTGAAGAGCCGAAGGATATCAGTCGTTATGTTCCCAGTCATTTTTGCAAACGCTGTGAACCAGATGGTAAGCAAGGTAATGTTGAGGTCTAAGATTGGAAGTGGAGATCGCCCAGCCCCGGAGTTTTTCTTGAGGCGGAGTTCCCGTCGCCGAGCCGGAAGCTTGTGAGGGAACTGAGGTGAGGCTAGATTTCATTGGGAATGGCGACCTTTGGGATGGTTACCCTGAAGGAAGAGCTCTAGTTGGGCCTTTATCTGTTCATTGGTGTTCTTGGTTTTGTTCCTAGATAAATAAAACCGAATATCTCTGTTTGTCTATCCTCTGCGACATCTTGTTGATGAAGTGTGATTCTGAATGTTGAAAAGTAAGCATTGTATCTTGTCAGGCTGCCGGGACTCCTATAATCCCCGGTCAGCATTCTAAAGTCACTACGTAAATCGTGTAAGTCTGCGATATCGGTTCTGCCTTTAACATCTCCATTGTTTTAACAATCAATCTCAACATTGCGGGACTACATCACTCACCGAAAGTCCAGCAGAATGGTTCCAACAATTTTATCGAGCAGGGATCGCCATGGCCATTTCCGAGGCTACTCTCAAAGCATCGTCATATCCGACCAACGATGAACGCTACCAACTTCCTTACTCAGAAATGTGGAGGTGCAATAACCCATCGAGTCAGAAATAACCCAATTTCTCCAATGTAACCCCAGAACCATGAACATGACCACGAGACTGGTAAAAGTCGATTGACTTTTCGGATGTAAACATAATCCCGAGTCACCCAGGGACATCTCGTGGCTGTCCATGATGGGAATAAAGTCATGCACCTTTACAATACTATGGCCGAGTATACACCGATTGAAAAAGAGCATTAGAGCACAACGGCACTTGTAAACGGGAGTTTAGACATCGTCCGAGATGCGGAACTAATACGAAGATATTACTGAGAGCAATTGAAGTGTCGTGTGGCTGATAACGTTAGAACCCAGATAAAATACATTTCGTCCCGTCATGATGGCCTGAACGGTAACAACTCCGGGCCGAAGCCACTGTAACATCAGCGTCACCAGGCCACTGCGCTGGGTCGATAAACGGGTTCACGTCAAAGGGAATTATCGTGGAGAAGGCGTGAAAAAAGACTCATAACCTTGAATTTGACAGTTACAGGGAAGAAACCAAGGTCCATGTGTGATCAGCACCTGTTTCTAGGTATACAGTTCGTATAAGTTTCTGATTCCGATCTCCATTCAACGTTAATTTCTCCGCATGAACGAAGCGTGCGAGTCCACAACAGGGCCGATTTGAATTGCGGAGAAGAAGCTGTCTCCCCCAGACTCTCGACCATCCCCGGCAATTGAGATGAATACGCTAACTCAATCGACAAGCTCAGTATAAATCTTGCTGGGAGAACCTCGGATCCTCGGTCAGATAGCGGCCGTATTATTCATTCTGTGGAGTGGGAAACCTGGGGCATGACACCATCACCAACAGTCGGGGATATCTTCCATTGGACGCAGCGGCTAAGCTGCGGTAGATCTGAGGATGTGAGAGTTCGCCGATGGAGATTAAACTGGGAATGGCATCACACGATGGTCCTCGCATCGTGGAAAGTGAAGGACAATGTTACTCCGCATCGTCCATGTGAGCTAGTGAGTCGTTTTTTCCCTCTTTTGTGCGGGGGAGCAAAACTAATTGAAGCCGACGCTAACACTTACAGAATTTTGCAATGACGCAGACACGCAAGTTTTTGTGAAGGAGGAAGCAAGAGGTTGGACTGGTGATCGCCGAGGGGAAGGGAAAGCGTAGCCGGTGCTGGGGATATATAAGTTGTAGCTGATAGCCTCACAAAAATGAAGAGAGATCATCATCACTGAGCGCCATTCATCTCTACTCTCTCACAATGGCTAGCATTCGATCTGTGTTGGTCTCGGGTCTCTTGGCCGCGGGTGTTAATGCCCAAGCCTACGATTCGAGTGATCGCGCTGAAGATGCTTTTAGCTGGGTTCAGCCCAAGAACACCACTATTCTTGGGCAGTACGGCCATTCACCTCATTACCCTGCCAGTACGTTCACCAACTCCATCAATTGAGGTGAGGTTATACTGACGATTAACTATAGACAATGCTACTGGCAAGGGCTGGGAAGATGCCTTCGCCAAGGCTCAAGACTTTGTC